CATGATTTTTGGGAAGTCACTGCATTTGCATGGCTTAAGGCAGAATGTCATATTCTCTTTCCCTTCCTTGACAGAGTCTCTTGGATTGTCTCTCTTCTTCATTACACATAGTTAATGGATAATTCAAGGCTCTGACGCTGATAAAATTAACAAATGTTATGTAGTAGTGGACACGATTGCAAAATCGTTGGCCAAGTCTTTGATATGAGCACATGCCAATGTCAAAAGCAGCAAGACACATGGGTATGTTGTGCCTCTTTATTTACCAAAGAAGTAAAACCAGGTGGGTTGATGCCAAGCATAGCATGTGCTTCACCAGCTCAGCAAATACCAAGATGTTGTGTCCACGTGAGACCCTTGTTTGGCAAATAAATAAATAAATAGATAGATAGATAGATAGATAGATAGATAGATAGATAGATAGATAGATACGTCTAACAGTTTTGAAGACGTCAATGCCCTGTGAGGTTTCCAAAAGGCCTGCCCAAAATAAGAATTCTCTGATAGTATCAGAGCACATCTCCTGGACAAAAACCACGGACCAGATACATTGAAAGATGTCAGTGATGGTCTTTAAGGGAAAAGGCTTATTAGCCAATTCTTCCATGACCTTTTTCAAATGCTTAAAAGAAATGCTGATGATTCTGGAATGGATGATTTTATTTGACAGAGATACTCTTTCAATATTCCTTCTCTGATCCAAATTAGAAGTCTCCTGAATGTTTTCCAGGACATGTGGCTTCACAGTTGTATATGGATTCTTTTCCTTAGGACTATTATAAGCAGCTTTGAGAGATGCATGAAAACAAAGTTTTTGTGTGGATGCACAGTCACATTTTGGTAAGGTTGCAACCAGAATTATCTACCTTGCCTGATGTGTTGAGAGGACAGACAGTTTAATTGGATTTATATTTCCACGGGGCTGGTCTAGGTCACACAAGAACACTGGGGCTTTTGTATCCCCTGATGTTCAAAAGTAAAAGTAGAAACAAAGATACAGAGGACTTATCAATTGTTTCTTTTCTCTGACATTTTCTCCAGTTTAACCTGGGCTTATGTAAAAAGGCAGAGATACCGGGTTTTATTTATTTTCATCAATATCTATAAGAAACAGCCTCAGGGCCATATCATGGTGGTGATGATTTCGGCCTTACCTGACCGGGTATGATATCATCCCTTGCCGCCCTGCACTCGTTAGAAGCAAAACGATACCATAATACCATGGTGGATATTAAAACTATTTTTTAAATGACAGCAATCATCAATACAACAGAAAGGCAAAACAAAGAAAAATAATATTCCCATAAGGCTCATCTGCAAATTCCATTATGGACCGAATGTTTGTGTCCCTCTAAAATTTATATGTTGAAACCCATCCCTTAATGTGATGTTGACTGGAGGGCCTTTGGGAGGTAAGTAAGAAATTGATGAGTTCTCAAGGGTGAGGCCCTTGTAGATGACATCAGTGTCCTTGTAAGAGTCGCAAGAGAGCCTCCGTCCTTCTCTGCTCTCTGCCCTGTGAGGACAAGAAGAAGTTGGCAGTCTGCAACCCAGAAGCGGGCTCTCACCGAAACCCGACCACACTGAAACCCTGATCTCAGGCTTCTAGTCACCAGAACTGTGAGAAATAACTCTCTGCTGTTTATAAGACCCCCAGTCTTGTAATAGCAGCCTAAATGACTGAGACAAATTCCCTAGAAAATCTTGCCATATTCACTTGGCTTCTTGTCTTTTCTCTACTAGACTAAGCTGCTTGTGGGCAGGAGCTGTTCTTTAATTTCTTTGTCCCAAAAATGTAACAATATCACAAAATATAAACAAAATAGTTATTTCTTATGATAACAGTTTACAGTAGCAATTACTATGCTTTGCATACCATCTATCTAAATCTCAGAGTGATTAATTAACAATGCTGGCCCTATAGTGGGTGTTCATGAAAACTTTCTTGAAGAAATGAATGAACACATGCATGAGAAAAATAATGCATCCACATATCTCCACAATTAGCTGGGGAAGAGAGTGGCTTGATAGAGATATTCCAACTTAACTGGCAGGTGATGTCCATGAGCACATCAAGCTCTCCTATCTCAAGAGTGATGGCCTTGGGATCAGGACCAGGGTTCAAATTCCATCTCTGCCACTTACTTTCTGGGAAATGGGTTTCCACTCATTAATTTACTCATTCATTCTATAAGCACTTGTTGCTTGTCTATTTATGTTTGGTCATGATGCTAGGAATGCTGCTAGGAACTCCTGTATACCATGACATGAATTTTAGAAGATTACTATGAGAATTCAGTAAGGTTGAATGAAATAACATGTGAAAGTACCTGGAACCTATCACAGTGCTTGAGTTGTAATAGGTGCTCAATAAAATTTAAATGCATGTTGAACAAGATCAGCCTGCTCCCTGTACCCTGAGCATGTTCACCAAGCAAACTTCTTTTTTTTAAATGATTTTATTTATTTATTTGAGAGAAAGAGAGAGAGCACAAGCAGAGGGGAGTGGCAGAGGGAGAGGGAGAAGCAGACTCCCCATTGAGCAGGGAGCCGGACACTGAGATCATGACCTGAGCTGAAGGCAGACGCTTAACTGACTGAGCCACCCAGACGCCCCACCAAACAACCTTCTCATGCTAATTTAATTTCTCAAGAAAACTCCTAGACTCAAAATAAGAAGTTCTAATGAAGTACATGTTCTCATCTTTGGTGTAAATATGTCTCCATATAATTGGCTAGTGTTTCTCCCTGTCCTTCGCTCTCCACCCCCAAACATTAAAAATATATATATTAGCATTTGACCATCCTTATCGAGCCCACATCGGAGGTGGACAAGGCCCTGTGATAGAATCAGTCTGGCCCATGAACTCAGGCTCATTCATTCATTCAGCAGGAATGCTCTGAGCATCGACTGTGCGCCAGGCTCTGGACCAGCTCTCAATAACTAGAGATGGAAAAAGCAGGATTGTGCCACCGGGGGCTCACGCTCTAAGAAGTACTTGTGTGGCAGCTTGGGGAGTCTGACAGGTGCCTGCCTAGCTCACATCCTGCATGAACCCAACAAACAAAACTTAGCTCCATGTGGGAGAGTGTGTGTATCTGCATGTGTTTTGACAACCATACATCCATTAGCACATCATGGAAGGTCCTGAACTTTATAAAAATTGCATCGTGACAGGAAGTTGACTTGCCACAATGCAGTCACTGAGAAGTAGGTTTAGAACATGACACGTTGGAAGCTCCATCTGGTTGTCTGAGCTATAAAACTGTGTCATTGACTCTTTTGTTTAGCAAATGTGTTTCATTCATTTGTCTGTTTATTCATTCACTTATTCAGCAACCGTTTGCTGAGAGCCTGCTGTATGCTGGAGATGGTTCTGGGTTCCAAGCTTTCCCATCAATCCAATCCCTGCCTCAAAGGCGCCATCTTCCATAATGAAGGCCAGCCCCTGGCCCGTGATTCCTCGGAACTTCTGTACTAAGGTCTGTATTACCTTTGGGTAATTAAATTAAATGTAATCGAAGCTTAACATAGATGCAAAAAAGTGTGCGTAAAATTACATTATTACAACTGAATATACTCATGTAACCAGCACCCAGATAAAAACCGAATGCCATCAGCCCCTCCCCGGAAACCCCTTAGAATCACCCCCACCCTCCAAACATTGATAACTCCTATCCTGACATGTAACAGTATACATTAGCTTTAGCTTTGACTGTTTTGTACTTTATATAAATAAGATCCCACAGTTTTTATCTTTAGGCATTTGTAAACTTCTGCCTGGATTGCTATATTTTATAAATTTTGTGGGGGTTTTTTAAATTTTAAATGATGAGAATGTAACTTATATAACTTCCTGGTAGAAAAAGCCAGAATCTAGAACAGTATCTTGGACAGAATATATGAAACTGGGTGCTCCTCAGCCCCTCCAGTTCATGCAGGCTCATGGAGAAGTGGACTCAGGGCCTTAACCAGGAACTTGTCTGAGGATGGGGATCTAGATTTTTATTCTAGTCATCATTCCAGGATGCTACTGTGTGTGTGTGTGTGTGTGTGTGTGTGTGTGTGTGAAATTTATCATGGCCTAATTTAAGCACTTCTGAAAGTGTGCATGAGAATAAAAAATGAGGTTTATTTTTTTTTTTCCATCCTAATAGTATTAATGGACAGTTTTCTAGACTGGAGTTAACTTACTGCTGACCTTTTGAATTTAACTGAAACACTATTCTGAGCCCTGGAGCTTCCTTCTGGTGACTTCACTGATTGACAAGAGAAGAGTGCCACAGGGTCCCATTAGTGATGGTATGGCAAGTGGTTTCTCTTCCCCTCCAACTTAGGAAACACCCAGCTGCCATAACCCTATTGATACTTACACCCACTGCCTATTCTTGTCTTCCTTTTTCTTTTCTTGTTTGTTTTTTTGTGTTTTTGTTGTTGTTGTTTTCTTCTTGACAGATTATCAGCATTAACTCTTACTAAAAGCCAAGCAGGTCCTTGGTCAAAAACCAACGTGCAACCCTACTGAAAATATCTTTCTATAAAAGTCACTTTCATTGTCAGCCTTCCCCGCCCTGCTTTTTCAGGTCGGCATTGACCTCCACCACGCACTCAGGACCCTAGCAAGTGAGTTGTTCCAAGAGATAAGGAAATACACCACTGAAATGTAGGTTTGTAATAGAGCCATTCTGGGAAACACTGACCTAGCAAATGGCCCCAGTGTATTCACTGTGGATGTCCATCTCTAAATAGCCCCAAACAAATTCTGTAAAGTCACAGCATGGCAAGCTGCTCAAAGGGCATCTGGGGAGTAGGAAGGCAGTGGTTGAAAAGTAAGAGAAGCCCAGCTGGCAGACGATTGCAGCACAGGAAGCAAGCTCCAGGTTGTGGTGGGCAGAGCTCAGAGCTGTTGAGCTGGAAAGTCATATCCAAGATTTTCCGCTCCCTACTTCAATACTGTTATTTTTACTGCTGCCAACTCAGTGTTAGACGCTGTACCTACCTTGGGACTGGCACCTCGTATTCTAGGTCATTAATCCATCTGCTGGCTCCCCATCGTCACACTGGCCTCCTAGAGGCAAGGCTTTGAGTCCATCACTTCAAGGATCACAGGCTACTTCAGAGCCTCCCCTCCCCTCTTCCTACACACCGATCCTCTTCCTGTTATTCCCAAGGAGATGCATCATAAGAAACGCTATTAAGCTTAACTGCCCCTCCTGTGTGCTGGTTCCTATTTTGCTGGCTGGTTCCTATTTGGATCCGGCTGTGGCTTTTCCACTCTCCCAGTGAGGTGGATGGAGGGGAGTGGGACATGGGGAGCCCAGGGACACATTCAGAAACACCTTGTCTTCTCATTTGCTTTTGTTGTGAGGGTGGAGGTCAGTGCCAAAGAGTGACCTGCCCATCTTCCTTAGTTGCCATGGCAGTGACGAACAGAGTCTCCAGTTGGACACAAGGGTTTTCTACAGTTTAAACAAAGACAATGGGGAAATATGTTTTCTTGACCCTTTGCAGGATATCCTGCCCAACGCACACAAGAATGCAGCATTTCCTGGACCGTCATTGCTCAGATCTAGCACTCAGGGTGGGCTTGAGGGAATCTGGAAAAAGATACATTGTCTCTGACTAAGAAAACCTGAAAGTCATTACCCATGTCTGAAGGGGCTAGTGTTCAAAAAAAACCCCAACATAAACTAGCTGGGTCTTTGGGATCTAAAAAAAAATGACAGGTATGTTTCAAAACAGACTAAAAGAAGAGAGAGCTATACATTTGACCCCGGCACTGCCCATTTTCCCTGCTTAGTTTTTGGCTTCTTACAAAGTCTCTATCTTCAAGAGCAACAGAGTAAGAGACTGGTTGGAAAGAGAACAAAGATCTTGTGGCATTACAAACGATTGCTTAATATCTTTCTCCTAAAAGCTGTGGCCTCTAAAGCCAAAATGCAAGCTACAATTCCTTCCCTGGGCGCTAGCGGAAGTCACAAGAATAGGTAACACACAGGCGTTCCGCTCTGCTCTGGTCCTCTCGCACAGTGACCTATCAGAGCAGCGCTGGTCTCTTTTCATAAAAATAATGAGAGAAACATCTGTCTCTCTGATACTTTCTTTTCCAGGCAAATGGCACTTAAGATTCTCACTTTGGACTTGTAAGTGCTCCCTACCCCCACCAGCCAAAGCAGCTTCTGTGTGAACCACTTCTCCCTCTTTCTTTGAATCTGTTGCTCGCTTTTCTTGACTACTACTTTCAGATAGTTGAAAATCAAAGACCACAACAAAATGCACGCACGTCTCTGACACTGTAGGATTAAAAACAACGACAACAACAACAGGTGAAGAATACAGGGGAATCAATTGTTACATGTGTGCCAATAATTCTTCCTTCCTTTTTAAAAAATAAAGTAGGAGAGACAGTGTTTTAGAAATGTTTGTTCCCTAAAATATTGCAGAAGTTTGAAAATTATGGAGTGAAGTAGTTAAGACTGGTGCTCTCTTGAAAAATGTTTCTACAGCTGATGTCAAAGAAATTACTGCCTATGATTTCTTCTAGGTGTTTTTATGGGTCTGGGCCTCACATTTAGATCTTTAATCCATTTTGAGTTTATTTTTGTGTACAGTGTAAGAAAGTGGTCCAGTTTCACTCTTTTGCATGTTGCTGTCCAGTTTTCCCAACACTATTTGTTGAAGAGACTGTCTTTTTCTCCAGTGTATATTCTTGCCTCTTTTGTCATAGATTAATTGACTATAAATGCATGGGTGTATTTCTGGGCTTTCTATTCTGTTCTACTGATCCATGTGTCTGTTTTTGTGCCAGCACCATACTGTTTTGATTACTACAGCTTTGTAGTGGATCTTGAAATCTGGGATTGTGATGCCTCCAGCTTTGTTCTTCTTTTTCAAGATTGCTTTCGTTATTCATACAAATTTTAAGATCATTTGTTCTGGCAAGGAAACAAAAGCCAAATGAAAGTGTTGGGACTCCACCAAAATAAAAAGCTTCTGCACAGCGAAGCAGAACAGAACAAAAAGGCAACCTACCGAATGGGAGAAGATATTTGCAAATGATATATCTGATAAAGGGTTAGTATCCAAAATATATAAAGAACTTAGCACTAAGAAAAGAAATAATCCAATTGAAAAATGGGCAGAGGACCTGGGTGGACATTTTTCCAAAAAAGACAGCCAGATGGCCAACAGATACGTGAAAAGATGCTCAACATCACTCATTATCAGGGAAATGCAAATCAAAACCACAATGAGATATCACCTCACACCTGTCAGAATGGCTAAAATCAACAACACGAGAAGCAAGTGTTGGTGAGCACATGGAGAAAAAGGAACCCTTGTTCATGGTTGGTGGGAATGCAAACTGGTGCGGCCATGGTGGAAAACAATACCATGGTTCCTCAAAAAATTAAAAATAGAAATACTTCATGATACAATCATTCCACTTCTGGGTATTTACCCCCCCACACACAAAAATATATCTAAAAACACCTAGTTTGAAAAGATATATGCACCCTATATTTATTGCAGCATTATCTATAATAGCCAAGATCTGGAAGCAACCCAAGTGTCCATCCATAGATGAATGGATAAAGAAGATGTATAAATATATATATATACACACACACAATGGAATATTACTTAGCCATAAAAAGAATGAGATCTTGCCATTTGCAACAATATGGATGGATCTTGTGGCTTTTTGGAAGGAAAAGGGTGGTATTGGCTGAGTAAGCTGAGTGTATAAATGGTCAGTCCTTGAGATTAGGAGACTGGCTTCCTAGAGATTTTCCCATTTCATTTTTCTCAGTGATATCAAACACAGTGTTGATCCTTCTGTAATTTTACTTGAGCATGTCACAAAGAGGAGAGCCATACCTCCACAATGATCAGAAAAATTCCCTAAGCGGTGAAGCCTTCAGAATCTGTAGATTTCAAAATAATCTTTGTATTTAACTGAGGACCAAGCTGTACTAAAAAGGCCTGCCTTTCAATGTCTTCTGCACACAAGACCCCTCCACTAATGGGAAAGTGTTCTCTCCACCTTTTCTCATGCATGTTTCCATGAAGAGTGTTTTTGTCTCCTCCTGGGGTTTTATTAAGCAACATCTCTTTTCTTGCATTGGTTTTATTGATTTATCTATGTGATTTTATGCCTAGACTGTTCTCCTTCATTCCAAACCTTAATACTCATCTCATGTTGCTTATGTTTTCAGGGCTTCTCCAAACAGCCGTGTTCATGCTGAGGTGGACCTCTCTAATGCCCTTATCATACTTTCTTGAAGAAAATTCAGTTACTTTGGTCTTACATGCCAATGAAACCAAACCACCCTGTAGCATCCTACCCCTCTTCCTATTTACTGTCTTTTAAAAGAATCATTGAGAAGTTTGCATTACTAATAAAGCATCAGTTAGGAGATTGAATGCTCTCTCTACCATTTTATTCAAATCCTTTTGAAATCAACTAATGAAAATAAAACCAACAAATAGATTAGGGAAACATAAATTCTTCTAAGCAGCACTCTGGCTAAAATCTACTCTCCACTTTCCACACCCTGCACAGCCTAATTTTTGTAATATTTTCATTGATTGACTTTAAAATTTTTTTTTAAGTTTTGTTTTGTATTGAATTTTGGCCCACAATTAGTTCTCTAGGCAAATACTTCTCTCCAAATTGTGTGAACCATGTGGCTTGACAGGAAGGGGCACCTGGGTGGCTCAGTCGGTTAAGCAACTGACTCTTGATTTTGGCTCAGGTCATGATCTCAGGGTCCTGGGATCAAGCCCCACATTGGGCTCCCCACTGGGTGTGGAGCCTGCTTGGGATTCTCTCTTCCTCTCCCTCTGACCCTCCCACCCCCTTCTCTCTAATTAAAAAAAAATGGCTTGACAGGAAGATGAAAATAAAATTTCAGATTTGAATTTAAAATAATGTTTGACTATTTTGAATAATTTAATGCTATTTATGGCATTAAAGATCATGGTGGGGTTATAAAATCTTAAAGGAGGTACAGTTTTTTGAATATGCACATGGCCATGATGAAATAGTGAAAAGTGGATGACAAAAACATGGAAACATCTGAACTGAGCAAAATATCCTCAAACTGAGCTCATTGGTTATTTAAGGACCCATGAATAGACCATGAACAGAATTTATCTGTGGTGGTTTTAAAACATGGCTGCAAGTTCTTTGGCACTCCTCCCACTGAGAGGTGGAGTCCAATTCCCTTCCCCTAGAATGTGGGTTGGCCTTACTGACTAGCTTCTGACAAAGAGAATATGGCAGAAAAGAAGCTGAGAGACTCCTGAGTCTCAGTTAGAAGGGCCATCCTGCTTCCCTTTGGCTCTCTCTTCTGGGATGCAAACGCTTGCCACAAAGCTGCCATAATGGGAGGAAGCCCAAGCCACATGAAGATGCCACGTGGAGATGACCTGGCCAGTGGCTGAGGTCCCAGCTGTTTTCAAATGGACCCAAGATTTAATCAGATATGGTAAGATCTGCAGACACAAAAATGAGTCATAAAGGAAGAGGTTTTTATTCACAGATCCCTGTAAATGGGAGGCATGACATACCACACAGAACAACATGAAGAAGCACCAGGGTCAGTCGTGTGGGCTCTGGAAAGCCATTTGCTATCTTTTGAAATTAGCTAGTCCTGGGAGGGGCAGTCCAGGGTCAGCAAGGCCCAGATGTCAAAGCTCCAGATTACAAAGGCATGTTCAGGGGTGGCTCAGTTGGTTGAACATCTGACTCTTGCTTTCAGTTCAGGTCCTGATCTCAGGGTTGTGGGATTGAGCCCCGCATCAGGCTCCATGCTCAGCACAGAGTCTCCTTGGGTTTCTCTCTCTCCCTCTGCCTCTCCCCCAAGTGCTCTCTTGCTCTCTCTAAAATAAATAAATAAATCTTTAGGGGGAAAAAAGGCATGTTCAATATACCAGTTGACAGCCAGCATCAACCACCAGACATGTGTGGAGGTCTTTGAGGTGTCTCCCACCCATGTCACTGTTGTCTGGTTATATCAGCCTGGGAGACCCTGAGTGAGAGCGTCTACTGGACCCCCAGTCAGCCTCCTGACACATGGAAGACCATCATCATCATCATAATCATCACCATTGATTGTTGTGGATGTTTTATGCCCCTAATGAGTATTCGATGACCAGAATACCCTCTGTTTAAGGAATTTACATTATTTTTTAAAAGATTTTATTTATTTATTTAAGAGAGAGAGAGAGTAGGGGAAGGAGCAGAGGGAGAGGGAAAAACAGACTCCTTGCTGAGCAGGGAGCCTGATGCGGAGCTCAATCCCACACCTTGAGATCACAACCTGGATCGAAACCAAGAG